GGGGGGGGTGGCTGGGGGCGTCAAGGTTGCATGTGAAGATTGCATGCAGGGGGAGTTGTGTGAGCGGGGAGCTGAATCAGTGAGCCGCCCCTTCCGTATGCCATGCGATGTGTGTATACGAGGACAATGATCTGAGCAAGGGCTGAGCCCTGCAAGCAGCGTGTGGCGATGGCGCTGCACCCGGGGCACATACAGGGCTGATCCAGCCGCCCGTGGAGGCGCGCTGCACGGCACGTCACCCGCGTGGGGCGGGGTCTCTGCAGGGAGGTCCAGCACAGAAGGCGACCCGGGGCTGACGAGTTCAGGGGCTCACCCTCGGGCATCGGGCAGTCGGTGATGAGCTTGCCAGTGGCCGACAGGAAGCCTGAGGTGGGTGGCGGAGGCGCACATTTTGTGCTTGTGGCCGCAGGGCTTTGTCGCATCGCGTTGCGCCCTTCAAATGAACCTTTTCGTTTTTAAGGCAAGGAGAACGGGCCCTGGTACGATTGCGTTTCAACACAGGCGGCTTAATTCGGCCCCAACCCGCCCGTCAAGCCAGAGCAAGCCGCCAACCCGTCAAGTGCCTTGTAAACCCCAAACCACCATCTCCCATCTCCCCTTTTCCCGCACGCCTCTCGATTCCCCACCCCTCTTCGCTATCCTCAGGCAAGCATGACGCCACACCGCACACCACCCCACCTGCGCCATTTTCCCTGAAGGCGTCCAGCTGGCCCTTGTACCTGAGAAGCCACCCGGCAGCTGCCTCGCAGCTGGCCAGGCTCTTGTGATAGCGGTCGAGACAAGTGGGTTCAAATGAGGCGCTGCCAATGCCCAGGCCCTGGCGCGCCTGCGCGGCGGGAAGTCGCGGCAAGGGGGTACAGTACATCACTCTGGGGTGGGCCACAATCTTTGCACATGCGCTGCGCCAATAGGTGCGGAGCGCTGGCAATCGCCCTGCAATGACTTGTATTGCTAGCATATTGTGTAGTTACCTCTGATCAGCACGGTCCGAGGGAGGATGCCGCGCATCGTTTGGGCGGCGCACCCTCTGATGCGTTCGGCTTCGGGTGCCCGCATGGCGCACCCTCAAGGGCAGCACGCACTCACCCTCTCGGCAAGAGCCTGCATATCTTATTAGGTTATATCTGTCTCGGCGTCATACACGCACGATCAGGCGGGCAGAGGGCCGCGATCGACGGCGAGGTGGCGATTGATGATCTAGGCGGTATCTATTCGTGTTCGGAAACGTGCAAACAATCGACGCGTGAAAACAAGGTGGATTCGAGACGAGGACAACGACTGCCTGGGTCTCAATGACTGGTCGGCGCCGCTGTCACTATGACACACAGCGCCACCCAGAGTCCACACATAATGAGGGGCCTGTCTGGGTGCGACCTCGGTATGATGGGCGCATGCCTTCAAAAAGCTGGGCACTCAGATTCTATTGGCCGTCTGCTCTTGCATGTGGAGCACATAACGCACGGTTTCATGCGTCCGCATCACAGCTGGTTTAAAAGGAATCTCGTCCTGCGAGAAACCCCCAAAAAGTGCGACGCATGAGGCGCGCGGCAACGAGGAATCACAGGCCACTTCTCAGTGCCACTAGGCTCCTAAGTCGTCACCGCAGCGATTGACCACGGCAGCTACCCGCGCACGTCCCCATTGTTTCGGCATATGGGCGGCTCACCTCGGTCAACTGCCTGCAGCACGTGCCACCGCCTCATTTTTGCCTCATCTCAGCATTGAAGCAGCTGCAGCCGCCTTTGATTCCACTGTGATGACCTGAAACCTTGTTGATTGTTTAGTAATCGTGTCACCTGCACGCAGCCCTCTCCCTGTAGCGCTGCAGTGTCCAGGTTTTCAGTCGTGGGCAGAAGCCCTCAGCGCTCCACGGGCGTCTTGGCCACACGCATTAACACGCATGTTGGTGTGGCCTGCTTCAGCCAATTGAGGCCCGCGATATACTGGCCGAGACCGGCTGAGTGCAAGCACATGGTGAGGCAGTCAGGGCGACCTTTACACGGTTGGGTACATAATTGGTGTTCAGCTTAGACAGCACAGCATACTGGCATGTGATGCTCAAGGAAGGGTGAAGAATCGCGCGTTTGTGGGTCACAAGGCGATTCAAATAGTCAACACAAGGGCAGTCAAATGTCCTGGGGCTCCACGTGAGATTCATGCCTTGCCAGCGAGCGCAAACAATGGGATCAATAGAGTTTTGTTGAAAATACATTCTGAGGCAGACTGGCGAGGCTGATACCGCACTGCAGGCTGAGCATGGTATGCAAGACCAATGGACGGTTTGGAGGCACTTGATTCACAAGGGGGCCTGGCAGCTTCAATCCCAAAAGTACAAGCATCAAAACCATGGCAGGCCATGCAGGTGGGGTCTCTTGGTACAGGCAGTCATGTGCTTCTTGCATACCTCCAAGCCGCCCAAGCTGGAGTACCATCACCCGTCAGCGCAGCCCTGTCACCACCGCACCCACAGCCAGCCTGCCCTCTGGTCCAATCAGCCCCAGCTCGCGCCACGGCCGCTCGTCCCAGAAGCGCGCCGCCGGGACACCGAAGAACCTTGGCAGGCCCCAGCCCTTGTCCTCCGAAAAGCAGGCCGCCCCGAGATTATGTCGCAGCACGGCGCCCGCGGCGCCGTCGTCGCCGCCGCGCGCCTCGCCGGTGCGGCCGTCGCGGCCCCTGCCGCCTGCGCCGCGGCTGGGGCCGGGGTCGGCGACTTGCTCTGCGCTGGCCGGTGCGAAGGCAAGCAGCTCGACACGTTCGGCGCAGCACAGCGCCGCGGGACGCGCCGCCGCGGCCGGCGCGGAACCCCCGGGCGCAGCATCAGCGCCCTTGCCTGGCGGGGCTGCGCGGCCGCGCTTGGCGCCGATGCTGGGGCTGTTGTCATCGTCGGCGGCGGCAGCAGCGGCGTCGGACGAGGCCAGGAGCGCCCGCAGCGCCTGTGGCAGCTCCAAACGCACGAACAGACCAAACTCCACCTCTACCCCAGCGCCGCCGTCCCCGCCGCCGCTGCTGTTATCACCAGGAGCAGCAGGCCGGCCGGTCGTGGGCCCGACGCGCCTGCCGCGCGCCTGAACCTCAACGAAGCCCTCCCACCCATTGAAATACGCCTTTGGCCCGGCCAGGCTCGCCTTGGCTACCTGCAGCCCCGCGCCGCCGCCATCCACCCCCGCAGACCCGTCCCCACCACACCCCGCCACCGCCGCCGCCGCTGCTGCAGCCGCGGCCTCGTGCAGCGCGCGCAGCTGTTCGACGCGCGCATCCAGCCGCAGAGCCAGCCGGCGCGCTGCTTGCGACAGGCGGCGCGGCGGCAGGCGCCACGCGGCGTGCGCGGCGGCGGGCTGGCCGGGGCCCAGCAGCAGCTCCTCGCGCCGCGATGGGTCTGGCAACGCCGCGAGCGCTGCGCATGCTAGCAATTCGGCGGCCGAGAAGCGGGCCCCGAGCCAGGGGCAGCGCGCGGCGGCGGTGGTGAGCATAAGGGGGGTGAGGTGTGGGAGGCGCAGGCATGCGGCGAGCGCAGCGCGCTGGCGGGGAGTGCCGCCGCGTGGCTGATCGGCGAGCCACTCAGCGGCGGCGCCTGCGGAGGGCGGGAGATGGGAAAGACACAAGTCAGAAGGGCGGCGGCAGTGCAGGGAGTCAGGGCGCCCGCTGGAACATCTCGTCAGCCGGGTAACAGCCGCGCTTCCATTTGGTCTCCGATGCTTCTGCCCAGCCTCTCCCCATCGCTGCCCGCCGCGCGCTCTTTACTCATTTTGCCGATCAAATCGCTCACAGTAGCAGCTGTTTTCGCTGGCCGCCCTCGTCCCGTCGTTTGTCAGCAGCTCCACTACGGCTTCAAACGGCAGCGCCGCCAGCTTCCGCCTGGCTTCCTCGTCCCCCAGGGCAGCCTCCAGGTCGCCGAGCCGCGCCATCATGCCATGCCGCACCCAGTCCATGACGGCGGCAAAGTCGGGGAGCTCCCGCAGCGCAGCCGGCAGGCGGTAGGCAGCGGAGACAGCGGACCAGTCCAGGGAGGAGGGGGGCGTGGCGCACAGCAGTCGGCACGCGGCGGCGGCGGCGCGGGGTGCGCCGAAGCGGTCCGCGAGCTGCAGTACCTGTTTAGGGGTGTTGGGTGTGAGTGAGGAGGGGTGTAAGTGATTCACTTTATGGGGGGGCGAGCGGAGGTGGTCGGGGTTTAGGGCTCGGATACATCACATGGCAGGGCGTACAGCGGAGGTTGTGGAGACTGCGGCCGCAACGGGGGTTCAGACAGATGTAAGATCATGGCGACATGTGGGCTGGACGGGTGGCGCGTGGGCGGCCCAGGGTAACTGCGTTGCTCGCAGATGCGCAGCGCAGCCCTGCGGCGAGGCGTGACCGAGCTTGGGCTGCCCTTCACCCACCCACCCGTGTCCCGGTGTGGCCAGCTTCAGCCTGGTATGGCGCAGGGCAGCCATCTACATGGCCAGAATTGATAACCACATCGCCCTGTCAAACTCTCACACATGGCCTCTGACAGGGCCCCCACCTGCAGCAGCTGCGGCTGGCTGGCGCCAGCTAGCGCGGCGGAGCCGTCGCCGCAGTACAGCGAGGCCATTAGCAGCGCCGCCGCCTCCGCCTGCGCCTCGCACTCAACCACCAGCCGCAGCGTGACACCATCGCTGCTACCGTGGCCCGCCTGTGGATGTCCCAACAGCGTCGAAGATCGAGGGTTGGGAGGCGGGCGGAGGCTTGTGCGCATGCGCAGGGTCGTTGTCACCAGGCAGGTGCTGAGAAGTGGCATCAGCAAGAGACGTTGGCCGCGCGTGCAGGGGCGCAGGAACACATGCGCCGGCTTCACGCCGTCAACCCGCCCGCCCGGGCCTCACCCTGGCGGTGCCACTTGACCAGTGCTCATGCAGCGCGGCACGCGCCCATGCGCTGGCCTCCTCCAGCAGTATAGCGTGCGCAGGGATCTCACAGACCACGCGTGCGCCGGCCACGTCACCGCTTGAACAGCTGCCGTCGCTGCTGCCGCCGGCGCCGCCGCTGCTGCTGTGCTGGCGGTCGGAGCCGGCGGTGCTGGTGTCGGCGGGTGCCACTGCGATCAACACGCGCACGTCTGCGCGGCGCGGGTCGCCGTATGCGAAGCTGAAGCACTTGCCATTTGGTCCTCCCATGCGATGCAGGCCCAGAGCTGCTTTGCGCGGCTGGCCGGCTACGATGACGGTGTCAGAGGGGTGCGTCAAAGGTGCGCCTCGCACACTTCCGGCCTAGCGGACACGACCGCTTATGCAACGTATCAGAGGTGATATGATGGCCTGTTGCTTGGAGTTTGCAGTCAAGAGGCCGTTTGCCGCGCGATTTTGACGGATCTGTCACAGTCTGAGCGGGCAGCTGATCTGTATTGGAGTACCTAACGTACTGTAAATATAGCGAGGAGTGTATTGACCCTTGTAACTTATGTACATGAGGGGCGGTGACAGCAGTCGCGAGCAAGCTGCTCTGACAGGCCTCCCTCACCGCTGAGCGCTTCCATCAGCACCAGCCAGGCTCTGGCCTACTGACTGTGCCGCTGCAGCCCCCCTTGACCCCATCCGGCTCACGGACCAGGTGTACTTTGACATGCGACCTATCTCACCCTCCCGCCGCAATGCGCTTGCTCTGCGCCCCTTCGTTGTACTTTATGAAGCCCGCACGACAATACTCAATTACCAGCTCGCATGCAATTGGGTGCAGGTCTGCTGCATCAAGCAAAGAGCATCGGCAGGTTAGAAACGACATATGTTAATTCTTGAGTGTGCTCAATTGCACAGCAGGCAATGAGAGGTGTTTATTAGGTCTGGTCAACGTCGTGCGCGCACATGCAAGCGTGCGCGCGCGCACACACACACACACACACACAACCGACGGGCAAGGCGCGTGAAACAGCAGAAACGATGCCATGAAAGAGATGAAGCCCCTATTCAGCAACCGGCGCAACCAGCTCTCCTTACAGCCGGCCGGTCGGCTGCGACTCCTTGGCGGCGCTGCCGCCGCTGGTGCCCGCGGCCATCAAAGCGATCCCGTGCGCGTCCCACAGCCGGACCACATACTGGCCCGTGGGCCGCGCCGTCAGCGCCGCCACCACATCACGCAGGGGGGCCGGCAGCTCGGCGCGCGGCGGCACGTAATAGCGGCCGGCGGCGCAGCAGGGCGGCAGCTCCACCAGCGGACCCGCCAGCGTCGCGAGCGACACGTCAGCGGCGCTGAGGGTTGAGCCACACAGGTAGAACGGCAGCGGCGCCTTGGCCGGTGGTCCTGGGCTCGCGCCGCCGCCGTCCCCGGCTGCAGCGACCTCCGCCTCGCGCTTTGCTATCAGGCCGTCGAAGTAGTCAAACTCCGACAGCATCAGCTGCAGCCCGCGCGCCGCAGTCTTGGCGTTGATCCCTAGCAGCCTCGGAAGCAAGAGGCGCGAGACAAGGTAGGAAAGCCACGCCAGTCCCCTGCCGATGAGCCCGCGGGCGTTGCGGCGAAACATGTCCGCGGCCAGCAGGGTCGAGGGCAGCAGGTGGAAGTAGGCCAGGCGCCGCACCTGCACAAATCGTGGTGGTGGTTACCGTGGGGTTTATGGTGGTGGTGCGTGGAGACCGCATCAGCAATGTGGGTATTTTGAGTGTTGGCCTGACAAGGGGCTAAAGCGCTTTGGGGGGCGACGTTGAGAGCTAGGGCATGCATGATTGCGGTCTGGTGCAGCAGGCAGACGAGGAATGGTCACGGGGGGCAGGGGCAGTCTTGCTTGTGGTCGCAGGGCAGGGTTTAGCCGGAGAGCAGCCTGCCTGCTTTGACAGCAGGCGCAGCTGCCGCGCGTGATCAACTGAGCTGTCGTGCTTCATCGTAGCCGTTTTCTTGAACCCAGCTGTTTGACCCTAAGCCGCATGCTGAGCGCACCTCGATGCCAATGCCGTTTGACAGCCGCAGCTCCAGCTGAGACACAGATCTGTAGTAATCGTCGCCGCCTGACACCACTAACTTTCCCTCGCCCTCGCCGCCGCCCGCCTCGTTGGGGCCGGCGCTGGCGACTTCCAGGCTGGGGCCGTACAGGAGGGCGGAGGGCGGCGCGCCGCGCGCGGCGGCACGCAGCGCGGCCCAGCGGGCGATGAGGGCGCTGTTCTGTAGGAGGCTGAGGGAGGAGTGGTGGGGGCGAGCAGTGGGGGATGGCGGGGACATGCGTCATTACAGGCACGGGAGTGAGGAGGGCTACTGGCGGCGGTGGCTGCTGGTGCACTGCACGCTGTGAGGGGGCTGGCCGCGATTGCAAGCAGCCGCTCTTCCGCTGTGGCGAGCACCGGTCAAGTCTGCATGCGGCGCAGCAGAGCATGTCTGCCTGCCAGGAAGCTGTGCCATTTTTCAACTGATTAGACACCTGGCCGGGGCCCAGCAAGGAGTGCTGTGCAGATCCCAACACAGCCACAAGCCCCGCCCAGCGCAGCCAGCGCACACGAGCCTGCACGGCACGTCATCAAGGGGCACTCACAAGAGGGGCTGCCTCTTCCCGCCGTACACAGCTAGCACGGGGGTGGCGAATGGCGACTTGCTGGATGCAGTCTTGGTGCGAGGCGACGCCACCGTGAAGCGGCGCTGTGCGTATCGGGTTTGAGGGCACAAAGGGAGGTGAGATGAGTTGTCCGGCCAGAGGCTTGGCCACGGGTGTGGCGGATCTTGAAACATGCAGGAGAGGTAGGGGTGCAGTGCAAGAAGCAGCAGCAGCAGCAGCAGCTCGCAGCCCTGCGACCACATGCGACCCTTGGTCAGGCGGGGGCGCCTATCAGTGCAACATGCGTCGGTCATTGGCAGCACTTGCATCAGCGCGCCTCGAACAACATAAACATAGACGCACCATCAGGCCTGCCATGCCGGCGATGTGCGCGAGGGGAAGGTACGTCACCTGGGGAGGCGACAGGTGTACAGAAGGAGTGGAGTGAGCTCAAACGCATCAACGCAAGCGCGACTAGCACCAGGGGTCTGGCAACCCTCGTTGTGAAAATTCGTGCTGCGTGAGCGCGTTGCCCCTCTCTTCCAACATAGCCTCCGCGCCAAAAACCTCTCATGGCTGGGGCCCGCACCTCAGTGTAGTCCAGGCCAGACGCGGCGAGTGCCCAGCGCGCACGCGTGCAGTAGTGCGAGAATGAGATGACGTGGAGCTCCAGCCGCAAGTCTGGATCCTTCAGGGCACTGCGATTCGACGTGGTGGAATTGGGGCGTGATTCTGAGGGTGCTGGTGCATTGATGACAGCACCTGAGAATGTTCAGAGGGGGCCCACTGGCGAGGGGGGCTGGGTAAGGTGGGGGGCGGCCTGCGCTAGACGGCTGGGGTGCGCACTCTACGGCGGCCTTGGGCAGCTCGTAGGCAGCCTCAGGCCTCAGCAGTTTGCTTTCCATGGGTAAAGGATGTGGGTAAATGCTGCTAATGGGAGTTTGCTGCGGCCTCTCCCGCCGTGGTGCGGCGGGCGTCCTGTTCGCAGCCTGCTGCAGCAGTCGGTGCGTACGACAATGTGGGCGTTAGGCGTCTGTGATTTGCATCGATAATTCGAATGGATTGGTGACTCTAATGAATGGGCTGAACTCAAATACGGTATCAGGCTCCTTCGCCATCCTCATGATCGCTCGCCGGCTCCTGCGGCCGGCTGTTTGAGGTGTACTGTAGCACGTGTGCCAGGATCGACGAGAAGAAGTGATACATAAAAAAAGCCTTCGAATTCTTCTGTGATGCGCAAGGAGCGCATGTGCTTGCGCATGGGCTCTTAGACATGCCTGCATCACTTGACTCATTGACTAAGGGTGGTTGGCGGGGGCCTCGTGCCACGGGAGGCTACAATTTGGCTTCAAGTGCAGCTGCATCTGTCCTGAGTACAATGCATTGTTGTGCAGCAGGCCGGGATTTGTGGTGGGTGCTGTGAGAGTGCCGCACCCTGCCAGCATCACCTTGAAACTACATGAGCGCGCCGATCACAAATGCCCCAGTGTGAGCCCATTGCAACGGGCCCCGTCACTTTGGCATCCTAAATTGCCAGCAATGCCTATATATCGACACAGCACAGCTGCGCAATTCACTCTGCACAACCTCCCCACCGCTCACCCCCTCAGACTTGCTGTGCAAGATGTGCGCGCTTGGATTGGCAGACGCCATCCAGTGGCAATGAAGGCTCGCTACTGGGCTGGAATACAACCCTGAAAAGCTATGGGCCTGCTGTGCGAGACATGCAAAGGACATACACGTTGCCAAATGGTCCACACAGCCGCCCTCATACTGTTCTTGCAACCCGGTGGGGGGGGGGGCGGAGCAAGGGGCCGGGCACATGTTGCGCAAATCTGCGCTCCCCCTCATGTACTCCCAGCAGTGTCGTGTCTGCACAATGTCAGGTTCTTTGGACCCACAGCTCGGCGCGCTGGGTGTGCCGCACCAGTGCCAGCCTCCATGGAGCTAGTACTGCGCTGAAGGCTTGCTGTGATGCCTAGGATCAGGCCAACCCCCAGGGACCTGGCATGTTCATCACAAGTTCTTGAAAGCATTCAAGATGACTGTACCCCTCCGCAGGAACGCCATGGCCAGCAGCCACACAGTCACTAAGTGCCACTCCTGCTCACCCATCGGGCCCAGGTGCTGATGGCACCGCGTGCAACGGTGCCTCTCCATTTCACTGAGCTTCTGGTGAGTCTCCAAATGTCAGCAGACCATGCGGGCCAGAGGAGGCTGTGGATGCTGAAGGTCACCCCCTGCAAGGACAGTCCGAACAAGACAAGTAAGGCGCTCTCCGGCAAGGACAATAAACCGGCGGCCCGTCAGGCATTTTGCAGGGTGCATAACCGAGAAGCCTCGGGCTGTGCTGTTTTCCGGCATGTGAAAAGGCACAGGTGGGTGGGGCCAGGATGCCAGCAGGTATGGGTGTTGCAAGGGCAACGCGTACCGTTACCAAGGGGTGCGGGGCGCTTTTGCGCTGCAGCCAAACAAAGGCAAGCGCTGCGCGGCAAGTCACATGGCCGGTGATGCGAGCTGTCCAAGGCACAAGATGTTCATGTCAGCACCAGGCAAACATGATTCCTCACGTCACAAGCAAACTCGAGTTCCCAAACACAGCGAGCTTGGCCAAGCCTATGCCATTGTATAGACAGGCCTGGCACAACCCGGGCTCAGGCTGTATTTCAAATACTACCACGCCGACCCCCCCTCACAGACGGCTGGCCGGCTTGTGAGCCGCGACACCTCCACCGCCGCTGGTGCCCGCGGCCATCAGAGCGATCCCGTGCGCCTCCCACAGCCGGATTATGTACTGGCCCGTGGGCCGCACTGTCAGCGCCGCCACCACATCACGCAGGGGGGCCGGCAGCTGCGCGGGCGGCGGCAGGTAGTAGCGGCCGGCGTCGCACCCGGGCGGCAGCTGCACCAGCGGGCCCGCCAGCGTCGCGAGCGACACGTCAGCGGCGCTCAGGACGGAGCCGCAAAGGTAGAACGGCAGCGGCGCTTTGGCCGGCGCGCCCGCGACTGCGCCGACAGTCCCGCTGGCCCCGCTGCTGACCCCGTTGCCGCCGCCGCCGGCGTCCGCAGCGACCTCCGCCTCGCGCTTTGCGATGAGTGCGTCGAAGTAGTCAAACTCTGACATCAACAGCTGCAGCCCGCGAGCCGCTGTCGTGGCGTTGATCTTCAAGAATTTTGGTATCATGACGCGCGCTACGAAGTACCAGAACCACCAGAGCGTGCAGCCAAGGGGCCCGCGGGCGTTGCGGCGGAACAAGTTGGCGCCCAGGAGCGTAGAGGGCAGCAGGTAGAAGTAGATGAGGCGCCGGACCTGTGTGGCGGGGGTCGTGACGATGGTGAGTCTGCTTGCTGTTGTGGTAATGACAAGTTGTGATGGCTATGAGGAACAGGTGCTAGCAAGGCAACCACAGTGATGAGGTGCCAACAGGTGGCTTGTCGGGCCAATGTCATCGCTCTTGTTGCTCTGTTTGGGGTTCAGAAGCCCAAACGCCGACGTGCGGAACGCACCTCAATGCCAACACCGTTTGACAGCCGCAGCTCCATCTCAGACACAGATCTGTAGTAATTGTCGCCGCCTGCCACCAGAAACTTCCCATCGCCCTCGGCGGTCCCCGTCTTGTCGGCGCCGGCGCTGGCCACTTCCAGGCTGGGGCCGTACAGGAGGGCGGAGGGCGGGGCGCCGCGCGCGGCGGCTCGCAGGGCGGCCCAGCGGGCGATGAGGGCGCTGTTCCGCAGGAGGCTGCGAGAAGAGGGGCAGCAAGGGCTAGGTGAGTGTCGCAAGGCAAAGGTGTGCGGGGAGTGCGACGTGGTGCGCTTCTATATTATATGAATGCATCCTGCAGCCTGCACGGGGGGATCACCCGTGCAAGGTTGTCTTGTTGCGCTTAGCAAGCGCGCCAGGGTGTGCATGCAGGCGGACTGTTTGAAGATGTCAACGCGGCTCTGCCAACAACGGGCGGCCATCCCCGTTGGGCGTATGGCATGCACATCCATGTCCAGTGCTGTCACGCACAGGTGAGAGCGCCGCAGAGACAACACCGCCGCCCCCTTGAAGGCTTTGCACAACAGCGAGCTCGCGCAAGTTCTGAATGCCGCAGTGCATTCCGTCCCTCACAAAAGGGGCTGCCCCTTGGCGCCATACACGGCCAGCGCCGGGACGGAGTAGGGCGACTGGCTCGATGCAGTCTTTGTGCAGCGCTCTGCCTTGAAGCGGCGCTGCACGTCCGGCGTGGAGGGGATGATGAGGGAGGGGGGCCTGGTGAGGTGCCCCGCCGACAGGTGCGGACAAAAGCTTGCCTAGCAAGGCATGCGGCAAAGTTGCAGGTGCTGCACTTGACAAGTCTGTCGCTTGCAGGCGTCGGCATGTGTGGCGCATGCGCAAGCTGCAGCTGCCTGGCAGAGCATTGCCAAGCGTTGCGGCCGCAGCAACAACGCCCCAAACTTCAAACACCGCCTGCCGAACCTTCCAGCGCCCCGTGCCAAGGCGTGCGCCGCGCATGGATCCCAGGAAAACGCACCAGCACGCGCGCCATGCCGCGCATGTGCTCCACAGGTAGGTACGTCACCTGACAGAGGGGATGACGGATCACGACAGGTGGCGATGGTGGTTGTGGCGATGGTGGTTGCTGACACCAGCACAAAATGCGCCACTGCTGCGGGCCCAAGCGTGGGGACATCCACATGCAAACTGCGGCCGCCCTCAAACCCTTGCACGCCCCCCGTGACGCAGACTGCATGTTGGACCCTATCTAGGGTGGGGGGCCGCACCTCTGAGTAGTCCAGGCCGGACGCGGCGAGCGCCCAGCGCGCGCGCGTGCAATAATGCGAGAATGGCACGACGTGCAGCTCCAGCCGCACGTCTGGGTCCCGCAGGGCACTGCAGTACCAAAAAGAACGAGCAGGGTGTCAGCGCAAGGGTGTCAGTACACGAATGAGCAACGTCGTCCTGGGAAGGTGGGCCGGGGCGCACATGCAGATGTGGGGGGCGGGGGTGACGGACTGCGGATGTTTGGCGGTTCAGTGCGCACTTGACTGCGATCTGAGACAGCTCGTAGGGGGCCTCTGCTTTGCAAAGCCTGCTGGCCATGGTGAGCAGGTGTTGTATGGTGCGCCTGCGTACTTGCGTCGTTTCCGCTGCTGGAGCACCTCAGCAGAGCCGTGTGAGCTGACGCACACCGCTTCTCAGGTAGTGGCAATAAACGACCGTATGTATGGTGCTCAAAATTTTTGGAGCAGTCTTGATGTAAGTTTTTTACTCGTATGAGGCGGTCGTCAACCATAGGAGCCTCGCGCCGAAGGGTATCAGCGGTGATCAGGCCCTGTGATAAGGTCATGACATACGACATGCTCCTGGCATCGCATGTTTCCTGATCTGCAGGCTCATTTACTGTCCTGCACGGGCCCGCATCACTCGACACCCGCCTGACTAAGCACACTGACCTCACCAACAACTGGTGCAGGGGCGACTCCAAACTCTGCATTGCACTAGCCCAACCAGGGAATTGTGGGATAGCCCAAAAAACATTACTGGGTAGCCACGCACGCCCGGCCTGGCTGCCTGCATGCCGCCTTGGCCGGCATCGCCCAGCAGGATGAAGCACGTCACCTCAGCAGCAGCTTTGCCAGCAGGGCGCACGCATCAGCGCGCCCCAGTTCCTCTATCCCCCTCAGCGCCGCCCCGACCTCCACCTGATCCATCCCCGTGAACGGCCGCCCATTTGCACGCACGTCGTGCAGCGGCGCGATGCTGTCTGACAGCAACTCAAACAGCCCCCTCAGGCCGGTCCTGCTGGCGAGGCCCAGCCACTTCAGCTGCCCAGGCAGCCCCTTGAGCCCCAGCTGTCGCCTTGCCCTGCGCGCCGGCAATGTGTAACTTGATATGGCCCTCGTTATGAAGCGCTCGACCGCCGTCTTGACGGCGGGCATGTCCCATTTGTCGGCGAGCAGCAGGAGGCGCTCGGCGTTGGCAGGAGTGACGGCAGCCGCCGGGCTGTCTGGAAGCATGGGGTACAAGAAGTGCAGTATCTGGGAAGGAGGGCAGAAGCGAAGGAAAGCGCATGGTGGGGCGAGGCGGTGCCTCGCGCATTGCTGATAACTGCCATCTGTGCGAAGGTGTTGCTCTTCGGACAGGCAGTGCTCGATGACTTGATGCAGCAGAAGCAATGTGGGATGGCTGGATGCGCGTCATTGGCCACGGGAAGCCAGCTGGGTGGATGGGCGTCCGTGCAACGCATCTCACCGCCTCCCAATCTGCGACAGCATCACCCGGCACCCGCAGCAGAAAAGCGCCGCCTTTGGTGGCTTCTGATGACACCGCCTCGCCTGAAACCAGCACGTCGTGTAGGAGGGCCGAGCTGAGCGCAAGGACCTGGCTGTGCGCGGGCAGCGAGGCGCCGCAGTCAAAGACAAGCAGCACGTCAGGGCGCAGCGGCGCGCGCGCCCACGAGTGAGGCATGATTACAACATGATAGCGGTATTCCAATGTTTCAAACTCTTCCAGGTTGGCTGTTGTGGTCTCATTCTGCTTCGTTCGGAACAACGAGGGTGGTGCGAGATCCGCGTGCGGCCTCACAATCACGGGGTTGTCATAATCAGCCGTGAAAAAAGTGTTTTCCCTGTGCTGAACTGCTGGCGTGTGCAGCAGTTCTTTCCATCGCAAATGCAGCCGGCAACTCACCAACGGAGGCCAGCGCCCTGGCTATCATGCCAGGGTGCACAGACCGACCGCCCGGCAGGCTGAGCAGATGGCAATGCTGTTTCCATGCCGCAGCCAGCGACACCACGGGGCTGACCACTATGCCCTGCCGGTAGCCAGCAGCGGGCCTTGGGGGACCCAGGCAACCATCACGGTGACGGCAAGAGCAGCTGCCTGACAGCACCTTCGTGCCCCCGCCTAGCACTGCATCTGCCAAGCCGTGTTCAAGGTGCAGAGGCGCCTAGTACACCCAGTGACGTAACGATCCCTCCTGCTGCAGGCGGACTGGCCAACACTCATAAGGGTGACAATCCACTTTTTACAATGCCAGCGCAAAAAAAGCCACACGAAAATCAAAGAGCCGCGTGCGCCACACTCCGCTTGCCATGCAAAAGAACCACCATCAAGAGGGCTTGGTTGTGTGTGAGGTGCGCGGGCGCAACGTCTGGACCTGGGGAATGGACACGGGGTCGTGCAGTAATCTTCTGTCGGCAGCGGCGGCGGCGGGCGGCGCCAGTGAGCAGGAATCGAGCGGCGCCCACGGAAGGACAAAGGAGAGCGCCAGCGCTGGGCTGCCACAGCGGCGGTGCCGCGCGGCTCGCGGCGGCGCGGGGGGTGCGGAATGTCCGGGGACCATCAATGTGTGGAGCAGCAATGGCGGACCCATTGCGCGTCTGGCGCACCGCCGGAGTGCCAAGGGGCTCGCGAGGCCCCAATCGCCCCCTCCCCAGTTTCATGCGCCCTAGCATGCGGCGGCGCTGCCGAGGCGTGCCGCCGCACGGCAATTGGCTGCGTTCGTGGAGCTCTGGGGACGTCGGGCCTCGCGGCCCCTCGGCGTGGCGGTGGGCTGACAAGCGTTGCAGCCAGACACAAAAGCGAGTACAGGCAGCAAGATGGTTCGACCGCGGGCCTGCCAAAAACAAATGGCAGCGCACCAAGGCGGCGGAGCATTCACCGCCGGGGACGCAACCTCGCGTGCGTGCGGCCCCCCCATACGTACAAAAATGGACGCAGACGTGATGGCGGCGTGGCTACCACGGCGCCATCGCGGTGGCGCTGCACAGCGGCCACTTCAAGAAAGGCAAGTGGCCCGCTCCCAGCGCTTTGCCTCAATGGCACGAACGTTAAAAGCGGGAGCCGCTCACTAGGCCGGCCGCAGAGGCTTCCCAAGGCCGGCGGTCCACGCCGCCACTCAGATCACGCCCGCGACGGGCGAGATCAGATCATCCCAGATCGCGTCAGATCTGGTCGAGCGCCTGCTCCACGTCCGCCCAGATGTCCTCAAAGGCCTCCACCCCCACGCTGAAGCGGACGAGGGAGTCCTTGATGCCGATCTTGGCGCGCGCCTCGGGCCCCTGGCAGCGGAACAAATCGGCGTGGGTGGCGCGGCACGCATCGGCATGCCTGCTGGGCGCAGCCTGGCAACACACTTGCCTGCGGCTTCAGCGCATCTGCCGCCCCTGCTCCTCCCTGGCCCTCTCGCATCCGCAAGCCTGCTGCTCCGGGCAGCACCGAAAGCAGCGTCTCCTCCGCCGCTCTAGCCAGCCGCGCAGCCGCCGCGGCTGCGCCCCGCACCAACGCTCCCTCCTCCCAGCACCAGATGCACGCACCCTCTCAACCCGCTCTACCCCCTGACCCGCTTCCAGCACCCAGCACCTAGTGTGCACCGACCCGCTTGACCCCCGACATCCCAGCATCCCACGCGCGTGCGCGGCGCCCCGGCCCTCTCACCTGGTCCCAGTAGCTGATGATCGTCGGCTGCTCAATCAGTGATTCCACGCCGCCCAGCGACGGCGCGATGCGCGGCAGCCGCACGGCGTCGATGAACGCGGCCGTGCGCCACAGGTCGCCGTCCACCTGTCGGGGCGGCGCGGGAACAAACAGCAAGGGGCGGAGGGGCAACACCCGGTCAGCTCCTCGCCTCGTCGGCCTCCTGTGTAGCTCGCGAGCTGTCGAACGCTGCTGACGCTGCTCAGGACGTCTTAGCCGACGACGCAGCGTCCCACAGCCATCGCTTGGGGGAGTTCGGCGCTTGGGGGAGGAGCCGCCCGCCACGCCAGCCCAGGTCCCTTCCCCTCCACGCCTTCAGCCCCACCCTCGACTCAGCCCCCATCGAGGCGGCGAACCACCACCCACCTCGAAAGACACGACGCCGCCGAAGCCGCTCATCTGGGCCACCGCAATCTCATGGTCGGGGTGGGAGGGCAGCCCAGGGTAGTGGACGCGCGCGATCTTGGGGTGCGCCTCCAGGCGTCGCGCCAGCTCCAGGGCGCTCTTGTTCTGCACAGGAGCAGGGGGTGGCAAGGATGTGCCGGAAACTGGTGAGACATGAGCCAGCCTATGCAGGTTTGCTGGGAGGTTGTAGAGGGGGTGTGAAACCCCCACCTACTATGGCCTGCGGCTCAGCCAGCACGAAGCGCGACCTGAGCAGCCCAGGTCGGCAGCTGCACCCTCAGCCCCTTCCTAGTCGCATGGCCGCAAACATCAACCCCCCTGTCCCGCTGCAGGGCAGCGCCCGGCCTGCAGCCCGCGTCCTCACAAGCAGCCCCGTGCTCCGCCAGGCATAAAGTTACCGCCCCAAACGTCCGACTGCGAGCCGCAGCACCCATTCGCGTCGGCCCCCTCCCCCACGCATACATGCCCCCCCCACACATACGTACACACACACACACATACATTCTCACACAAACCCCCACACCCGCACCTGCCGCTCCACGCGCAGGTCCAGGGTCTTCATGCCCCTCAGCAGCAGGTAGGCCGCGTGGGGGTCGATCACGCCGCCCAGCACGTTGTGCGCCTGGCGCACGGTCTCCACCAGGTCAGCGCGCCCCGCGATGGACCCCGCCAGCACGTCGTTGTGGCCGGCAAGGTACCTGGAAGTGTGACGCGTGAGAGGGAGGGTTTGGTGGTTGGTGGTGCGTCCGCCCTCGTCAGGCGTCAAAATGGATTCCCATCCTCCGCACCCACTTCAAAGAGCGTCAGCTACCGCTGCATGCGCGGCACATCGGCTGCTGCTTGAGGGCAAGGTCGGAGACTGCTCGGTGAGTCCCTGCCTGCGCCGCACAGCTGCCTGCCGAACCCCCGCTAAGACTGCCCGCCGCTCCTGCTGCTCCTGCTGCTCCTGCCGCAAATCCCTGTCACGACCGCCAGAAAGCCCCGCCGCCGCCGCTGACGCCCCTCCGCCACTGCCCGGCCCTCACTTTGTGGCGGAGTGGATGACCAGGTCCGCGCCCAGCGCGATCGCCTGCTGGTTGCAGGGCGTCGCAAACGTGCTGTCCACGCACACGATCGCGCCCGCCTTGTGGCAGAGCTCGGACACCTTGGGGATGTCTATGCACCGGAGGTAGGGGTTGGTGGGGGACTCCGAGAAGAAGAGCGACACCTCGTGCTCCTCGAGGGCGCGCTCCAAGGTTGCGAGGTCCGAGGGGTCGATCACAGTGCAGCCGATGCGGAGCTTGGGCAGGAACGTCTGGATGAATTGGCGCGTGCGACGGTAGCAGTCGGTCGTGGTGACGATGTGGCCGCCAGCGGGCACCAGGGACAGCAGCATGGTGGTGGCGCTGCACATGCCGCTGGCGGAGAGCAGGCAGTCCTCCGCGCCCTCCATGGCCATGATCTTCTCCTCGGCCGCGCGGGCGGTGGGGTTGCCGTATCTTTGGGGGAGGGTATGAGAAGACGTGTGTGAGGGGAGGCGCGCGGCCGCGCGCCGCGCGGGCATGGAGCCGTGGGCCTGCAGCGCGGCAGCTGCCAGGAAGCTGCTCGCTGCCGGGGGGAACGCTGATCAGCCGCTGTAGCAAACTCAGCATCGCCGGCTGATCGCCAGGGCAGGTTGGCGGGCGGCAGATCACAGCGCATAACCCACGCTGCCCGTCTGGCGCACATGCAACGGAGCGCCGGCGCCGACGCCCACCTGCCATACTCGAACGATTTGTGGGTGCCCTCCTGGAACGCGATCAGCTCGGCTGTGTCCTTGAAGGTGTAAGTGCTGGTCTGGACGATCGGCGTCGTCAGCGCGTCGATCACGCCCTGGCGCGCGACGCCGCGCTGCGTCTCACCACCGTGCACCGCCGCTGTCGCGACCGAGAAGGCGCGCGGCTTGCCGCTGCCGTTGCCGTTCTGGGGTTGGGCCTGCTGCTGCGCAGGCTGCTGCTGCTGGTGCTGCTGCTCAGAGGCCGCGGCCGCGGCGGTCGAGTCGGCGCCGTTGCCGTTTGACGTGGAGACAGGCGGGG